TGCTGTAGGATAATGCACTGACTCCAAAGGTCGATTTGAACTGCAAGTCAGTGGTTCAAACTCACTATGCAGGGTTTCTGTGAGTCAGAACTGACCTGATGGCACTTAACAACAACAACAAACAGTTCATTGAAGGAGAGCTGGTAGTGTAGTGGTTAAAAATTGGGACGCTAATCACAAGGTCCAAGGAACTCTGGTAGCGTAGTGGTTACTTGTTGCAGACTGTGCAGAGGTTCGAGGCCCTATAGGCCTGAATGTACCAGATCTAGCCACTTGGCAGTTAATAGCAAATTGTTTTTCATCAAATTGTTTAGTCATATTTATTTAATTCCAAACATGAGCCCTGGATGTCCACAGAGAAATGCAATATTCCCCTAAGTTTCTAAGTTCAAGATTTTCCCCCTAGAACCAAGGCAGTAAAACTTCCTCAGAGGACGAACAAGGACAGGTTTGCTGGGATTAAGCAGGGAGGCTCTGGAGAGGAACTGCCTGGGGTATATTCACTTGGGGAGGAGTGGTAAATTCTGGGAATATGGGATTAAGGACAATGGGGGCAACTCCCTCAGACCACCCTGGGTTCAATCAGTTTGATCCAAGTGAAGGTTAAACCCAGTAAGGAAGAAAGGAATATTGGTTTAAGTAAGGTTTACTGGTTTAACTTATCTTAAAGATTGTCTTGTCTGAATAATACCATTCTTCTTCTGTAAAGATCCCTCCCAGATTGGTGTGAAGCTCCTCCCCTAAATAAAACAGAGGCTCGGGCCTCCCCAGGTGTGCATTACTGGTTGGAAGGCTTGCAGTAACGATTGCAGTGCATTACTGGTTGGAAGGCTTGCAGTAATGATTGCAGGGCAGTGAGTTGCTGCCTGCAGAGGCCATGATGCCTGTAGTCCCAAGCCTGCCCACCAGTGATGTATCCACCCTGGCTTTGGGGTGCCTCATTGTCTCCCTTTTTCTGTTTGTCTGTGTATTCTTTCGCTATCCCTATCGCCGCTGGATCTCCCCTCCTCGTGAACCAAACAGTCGTGAACAACACAACTATGTCGAGGCAAGTCCCCAAAAGTTACTAATCGGGCTGCGAACCTCCAGGTCAGCAGTTCGAAACTACCAGCTGTTCCGCAGGAGAAAGATGAGGCTTTCTGCTCCTGTAAAGATTTACAGCCTCAGAAACCCTGTACAGGGTCACTGTGAGTCAGTTCCGACTCCACGGCACATAACCACCACCACCACCAATCACAAGGTCCACAGTTTGAAACCACCAGCCACTCTGTGGGAAAAAGATGATGCTTTCTGCTCCCGTAAAGATTTACAGCCTCAGAAACCCATCACAGAGTTGCTATGAGTTGGGACCTACTCCAAGGCACACAATTACAACCATCAACAGCACCACAGTTCATTGATTCAGCAACATCCATTGAAATGAGGATGCCTTTGATAATCAGAGGCATCTTGCGATCATAACCGGTAGTGTTTTTGATGATGCATAAAACTATGGCGTATCTACTAATCAATAGTGTTTGTTGTTGTTGTTGTTGTTAAGTGCTGTGGAGTTGGTATCAACCCAGAGTGACTCTGTATAGGGTCTCTGAGGAGCAGCTGATGAGCATGAACCACCAACCTTGAAGTTCAAATTGACTTTGCAGTCCAGTGCATTAACCCACAGCACCATATGGTATTCAAATGACTTGAATTTAAAAATCTATCTTAGTACATCTTTCTTGTTTTGTTGAATTTATAAAACAGATGATTTGCTGTCCACATCAGATAACCACAGTCAGTACCTGAAGACTTTGTAGGACTGTTTCTACCACTTATGGTTTCTCCTGGTTCTCACTCAATACTGGATACTGGATAAAACACTTTAAGAACTTTTCCAATGGGTTTTCCTTGTGTCAGTTGACTGTAAGCCAGTCAGTGACTTGCCTCGGAACTTTACCTGTGAAAATCCTTTGAGCACGGGTTGAAGTTGAATTTCTCCAAAGAGGATTTGTATTTATTTCTTCGCGTTGCCTAGAGAACACTCCCAACCTGCTATCACTTTAAATTAAATTATTCATCTGAGGTGTTTTTGTTTTGTTTTCTTCTTACATCCCAGATACGATTAATTTAGACCACAATCTCATGTGGGAACTGACTTGTGGTCATGAATGCTCAGGGAATATTTTTCTCGGCATCACCATGACTGAAATGGGGAAGGCTTTTCCTGTGTCCTTTGGAACATGATTTTACTTCCTTTTGGATTTAACACTCCATTAGGGTTACATCTTTATGGAGGAGTCTCCCAGGAAATTCTCCTCTTTGGATGAGTTCCAGGCTTCATTCTTATTCTCTGAGTCCTTCACATCCTTCTAGGAAGACGCTCAAGAACTCCAGGGTCCAGAAAAATTCCTAGGGGGCAAAGGTTGCTTACCACTTACGTTCTTTCCTTTATTTCTCTTTGAACTTTGTGGATTCTTACTTTTATGCCAACGCAGTGACACGTTTGAAAAGTTATTATAGTATTTTATCCAGTATTTTAATTGTTTCTTCTGGGCAGGATTGTCTAGATTTCTAATTTATTCACCTGCAAGAAATAAAAAGCCTCCAACAAAACTTCTTTAAGGAAACCCTTCTTACTCCTTCAGTTTACAGAATAAACCTACTGCCGTCGAATAGATTCGGACTCATAACGACTCCATATAGGGTTTCCGAGGAGCAGCTGGTGGGTTTGAACCACCAACTTTGTTGCTTATCTTACAGTGCCACAAGCTCTCCTTTCTATAGTTGTTGTTGTTGTTAAGTGCCATCAGGTTGGTCCTATCTCATAGCAACTCTATATAGGGTTTCTGAGGAGCGGCTGGTGAGTTTGAACTGCCGACCTTGCGGTCGAGTGCTTTTCCTGCAGTGCCACACCAAGGGGAGAGTCTACACATATTCTCATGGCACGGTTGACCTTCCCCTTGTAGCACACACACCATCAACATCTTTACATTCATTTGTATGCTCTTTACATTAACTGTCTACTTACCTCATTAGCCGTGTGAGGGCCTCGGTCTGAATTGTTCATTATTTGATTGCCAGTCCTTATTTCACTGCTTGACACACAGTAGCTATTCAATAGATATTTACTGAGTAAATAATGAGACGAATACTTGAGTGAGAAGATTGTATTAGGTATTAGGTCAAGCTCAGCTGTGTGTCTCTGCTTTAAGTTCAGCCATGGGAGGCAGTGTGTTTTTTGGAGGGGAGGGTGGTTAGCAGATTCCCATAGTCCAGTCACATTATTCACAGGTGGCTATTTAAAGTAAAAGTCACTTTTTCAAGTAGCTAGTGGCTGTCCTATTGGACAACACAATCATAGAACATTTTCATTGTCTCAGAAAATTCTACTGGAAATGCTTCTGTAGAATTTCTAACAGCTCCTCTCGCTCTCTGTCTCTCTCCTCTTTCTCCCCACTCCTAAACCAAGGACAGGGATTGTTGGCTCATTCTTAGTGATATAAAATATTGCTTTTGAACAAGACGATACTTGGGTACTTTGGGTAACGAGCACCAACCCCACTGTTTTTTCTTTTAAACTCCTGAGCTCTTGTTTGCCAGTACATTCTTCTATTCTCATTGCCGTGAAAGCTGGATGTTACTTGGGTTGGAAAGTATAACTGCCTTCTTTTCTGGTCTTTACACCCTTTGCTAATGTCTGAGAGTTCTCCAAGGCAGGGTTCTAGGAGACTTTGGCACGTCTGAAGAGCTGAGTCATACAATGGTGGAGTAGGGCTGACGGGGTTGGGGGTAGGACGTTCTCTCAATAGACTAGGGCCCCTTTCTGCATCCATGGCCAGTTAATTGGCCTTGCTGGGAAAGTATGATGGAAAGAGGGGCTTCAGAGAAACGCTGGTGACAGTTAAGTGGCCTTTTGTTGATGTTCTCTGCTGAACCAGGACTTTGCTGGATTTTGTCTCTGCCTTTCTCCCCACCTCCTGTGGACTTTCTGTTAGCTTCATCATTTACCATTCAGACATCATCTTTCACTTTACCTCTTTAACATGATTGCTTTGTGTGCTGGCTTCAGCTTTGTTCCTTCTATGCCCAGTCCATAAAGGGGGCTGTGTGGCTGCTAGAGGACTGGGGACTCAACTCTGCTCTATTGAAGCCACTAAGAATGATAATAATGATGGTGGCCTTCATGTCTGGCAGAAAACACGCTTCCTACCCCAGCATAATGGCGGCCACCTGAAGATAGAGAAGCTGCGTGGAATGTATTCTCATAGAATATAGACATTCCCCTTCCTCTGCTCTCCTCTCCATCCGCTCCTCCTCCTGATTGGAGTCCTGGCCTAAAGTACAGCTGCGACTAAGAGTTATTGCCTTGGAATTATTAATAATAGCTTCCATCTTGCAGGCTTGTACAATTTGGCACGCCCATTCACCCAAGTTGTCTCATCAAATATCCACCTTCCCCGTGAGGTAGGGAGGGGAGGTATTGTTAACCCCATTTTACTGATGGGTAAACTGAGACTTAGATTAGGGGAACTACCGCAGCTCTTGTAGCTAGGAGGTGAGCCCCCTGGTTTTCTGTCTCTAAGCCCAGCATCTTCTCAATTGGGCCCACATCCTTATGTTAAGGAGGGTGTGGACCAGGGAGAGTGTGAGTGGATTGGGAGGCAGAGGAGAGGAGACTTGCTAGAGGAGAGCCGAGTGGCAGGAGGGTTTTTCTAGGACCATCGCTAGCTACCCGTCATTCTCCAGAGACAGAGACAGTCACGCTTACAGGAGGTGGCCCAGCAAGTCAGGGGCCACATTATCCTGTCATCCTCCTCCTCCCCTTCCCAGGAGATTTGCCCAGAGTGAGGGAAGGGTGGCCCTAGGTCTCCTAAGGACCTTGTGTTGTGGGCCATTTCCTGGCCCCCAGAGAGACCCTAACGTCCCCTCTCAGGCCGTGTGGCTGGCCTTTAGGTGCTGTGCTCTTTTGAGTTCTGGGCCATGCCTGCACCCTCAGGGGCTCCGTGACACTCCAGAAGAGGGATGGGGCCCAGGCAGCCCCTCGTGGACAGACGGATGCTCCTGGTCTGCAGCTATATCCTGGCCTCAGCTTTAGGCCAAATGAATTTCACGGGGTGAGTGGTGGCCTTGCTGTGGGCCTCAGGGGGAGTTGGCTGTGCGGCTGTGACCTGGTCAGGTAGAGGGGTCCAGACTCAGTGTCCACACTGTGCCCACCCAAACGCCACACCCTCCTACTCTGGGGCACTCAGGTTCTCTTGTCCTTCTGCTCCAGCATCTTTGGGGAAGCTTCCCGGGCTCCAGGAATCCCCCTGAAACCACATGGAAGATGTTGTATACATGCACTGGTTTTCTGGGGGAAGGGTCCGTGGCTTTTCTCAGCTTCTTAAAGAAGTTGGTAACTCCTTCTTCCCCAAAGACTGATGATGGTGAGGATGATTGTGTCATGGAGTTGGTTTAGACTCATAGTGACCCTGCATAGAGTTTCTGAGGCTGTAAATCTTTATGAGAGCAGAAAGCCTCATCTGTCTCCCTCGGGACGGCTGGTAGTTCCAAACTACTGATCTGAAGGTTATCAGCCCAAAGATTTGGTACCAGAAATGAATGTGGCGTTTTCTTTCTTGAAATCACAAAACCCAAGTGCTGTTCAGTTGACTTCACTCTGACTCATGTAACCCCGTGTGTGTCAGAGTACAACTGTGTCCCATAGGGTTTATAGTGGCTGAGTTTTCAGAAGCTGATCACCAGACCTTGCTTCTGAAGCATCTCTGGGTTCACTCAGACCTCCAACCTTTTGGTTTCCTGTGAACCAACACCATTTGCACCGTCCCAGGACACTCGGAATAGCAATAAATACCCAACAGACCCATGAAGGAAGTAATTTTTCAGGCTTCAAAGGGTCCTTTGAGGCAGATTTTCCATAGTAGGAAGGACAAGTGGGCTGAAAGGGGGTCACCACCCAAGGTCCCAGACTTTCAACCCCAGGACTCAACAGATGTCCACGTGGCACAAAGTTGTTCAGCTTCCCTCATAGCGGGGAGGGCACCTATCTCCTCTCCAATGTCCTCAAGCTCTTGGAAGAAGGCAGAAGAGGGCTGTAGGTTTGGACAGGCCATGGTCTTGGGGCCCCTGTGTGAAGAGAACTTGCTGGCACTGTTGGTCCCCAGAGTCCTCCAGGGCATCTTTCTCTCTTTCCTTTGGCTTCAGTAGGATCATTGTCTACCGTTGTTTCCCCATCTTGGATTTAGGCCTGCCAATAGCTTTGACAGGCTACGCTTAGCTCCCTCAGTGGTCTGGATTTGGAGTCCCAGATTGAAGGACATATGTGCTCCCCAGATTCCAGTTTTTCCAATTTAGGCTCCTTCTGCCTCCTGACCACAGGGTTCCCTCATCTCTGCCTTCCCCAAGCGACAAAGCCTTGTGGGAATCTCCTCAGCCACAGCATGCCCTACCTCCCGTGTCTTTCCAGAGACCAGGTCCTTCGAGTCCTGGCCAGAGATGAGGAACAGCTTTCACTTCTCAGAGGCCTGGAGGGCACGAAGCCCCTGAAGGTGAGGATTCCCAGGGCCTGGGGACATACGGTCTCACCCCAACTTCCCTTCTGATGTTATAGCCCCGTGGAAAGGTCAAGTGGGGACCCTCCTCAGGAAAAGGTTGGGAAAAGTGGTCCTGAAGTCTGGGTGAGGGTCCGGGTCCTCTGCTCTTTCCTTCTGTCCTGGAGACCAATGGCTGCCATTTCCCCAGGCCATGTGGGAGGGACATGTGTCTGGCAGGGAGCCTGGGTGCACGAGACTGGACCTGTCTGTTTCCCAGTTGTAATGGTTTAGCTGTCAAATTGGCATTTTAGTTAGGTTTCTCCCTGTCAGCCTGGACACTTGTTTCTACCGAGGACATTTGTCCTCTAATAAAAGTTTTCAAAACGGGCAAGATTTTCTCCAGCCATTATACAAGATCGTTATGGCTCCATATGATAAGCACTGGACTATGAACCACGAGGTCTGAAATTTGAGCCCACCAGCCGCTCGTCGGGAGAAAGATGAGGTTTTCTGCTCCCACAAAGATTTTAAAAGCCTTGGAAACTCTATAGAGGGTTACTACAAGTAGGAACCGACTCGAAGGCACTTACCAGCGATAGCAATCATTACGCTAGAGTGGTTTTGTTTGAGGGCTGTTGAAATGACCAGATGCTCTGGACAGGGCCTGAAGCCCTCGCCCCTATTTGTACACGTGTCTCTTTCAACAAAAATGTACAAATTGAAGAGAAGGCGCACTCATTAAGATGGCGTGGGGACCAACATCAAGCTTACTTACCCTTCTTTGGGGGCTGAAGCCTCCCTTTCCCACCAGGGATCTTGTTCATTCTATTGTCCCAGGGGGTGTGTGGGCTGACCTTTAGGCGCTGCTCTGGGCTCTTAGGATTGGAAGGAAGCTGTGATATGTAAGTGAGGCTGGGAGACAAAGGTGCCTGAAAGTAGAGAAAGAAACACAATGCTTGGGATTGTGTTTTGGTCCCAGTCTTTCTGCTATACCTTAGGGTTTTCATATGGCGCTGGGTCCTCTAACTGGATAAGAGAAGGGGACCACCTGACTCTAGGGGGCCTTCAGGACAGGCAGCAAACACATACATTTTCTCCTTTTGTGGCCAAGGTGGACTTTTGGCGTGGCCCAGCCAGGCCTAGCCTCCCTGTGGACATGAGAGTCCCATTCTCTGAACTGGAAGACGTCAAGGCATTCCTGGACTCTCATGGCCTTACGTACAGTGTCATGATCAAGGACATCCAGGTAGGTCCTTTGGATGCTGAGGCTAGTGTCTCACCTACTGCATTCCTTTCTGGTTTGGGAAGAATCACTCAGGGCTGGTGGGATGGACACACCTGCCCTGAAGCTCTGTCTGCACCTGTGTGGCCAGGTCATGAAAGGAGCTGAGCTCCACATTCCTCAAAGAACCTCCATCGCAGTTTCAGGCTCGTGGAAAAGTACTCCTGCTAATCTTGCGTGTCCTCTTATTTGTAGCTAATGACAAAGGAGGAGATGCGGAGAGAGGAGGGAATAAACACTAACTCAGGTCTTTTTCCACATCACGGGGTCCTGATGGCACAGTGGTAAAGCACTCCCCTGTTAACAGAAAGATCCGCGTGTTGAACCCACCTTGGGAGAAAGATGTTGTAGTCTGTTTCTGTAAAGACTCCAGCTTTGCGAACCCTGAGGAGCACTTCTACTCGGTCACGTGGGGTCACTGGGAATGGGAATTGGCTTAATGGCTTGGAGTTTGGTTTGGGTTTCCTGGCACTATGGGGAAGCAGCTCTTGGTGGCTTCCTGTGTTTTTCTGGGATTGTACCCTCCTGTCCCCCAGGTTCCTCTATCATCCAAACTAGGAGGTACTTTCTTCCCTTCCCCCTAGCCTGCTCTTCCTTACCACACCACCTTACTCCTCCATCCTGAACACGGTGGTGCTCTAGCTCAACTCTTCTGTCTCCGAGGATGCACACAGAGCCTGTGGAGGGGGCCCCATGCCCCCAACAGCTGTGTACCTGCATAGATTCACTCCCAAACAAGATGTGCTGGAGCTAATCTCCTCCAGGACCTGAGTGTGGGAACACAGAGTCCCTGAGCACATACACTTGACACCACATGCCAAGGGGATCAACGCATTAGAAGGCTTTCCTGCCTTTCCCAGGCGCGCACATCTGGTTCCCAAGCACCATGTGGGGCTGGATGTTTCTCTAATTCAATTGTACCACACACAACTGGGGAAATGCTCACAGACAAGTGAGGCCCCATATCAAAAGCTACAGGACTTTCTTCTTGTTTATATTCAGGCCTGAATTTTGATGTTGGCACTTCCCTGCTTCTTTGGAACCCACGTGTTTGGCAAACAGACACCATTTTTTTGTTGTTATTGGTAAGTGCTGTCGAGTCTTTTTCAACCCATAGCGAGACCCTGTATAGGGTTTTTGAGGAGCAGCTGGTGAGCTTGAACCACCTACCTTGTGGTTGAAACTGACTTTGCAGTCCAACGCATTAACCCACAGCACCACACAGACACCATAGGTCTCTAGAATATTTTCTGCTGATCTCCACAACTCAGGAATGACCCTAAAGTTTACACTCCTGAGCCTCCCACTTGGATCCTCGGAGTCAGTGGTCCTCCTTGCTGCCCCTAACCTAAGTCGCCTTGCTTTCCCTCTGGCTCAAATGTCCTGGACTCTCAGCCCAAAGCAGCCAGGCAGGAGTTTTACTGAGCACTCACTTTGTCTGTGATGGATCAAGGTCCTGTTGCTATTTTGGAGATCAGATCTGGGCTTAGTGGGAACTGGGCTGGCAAGACTGCTGTGTTGAGCTGATTTATTGGGAGGGTGAAAAGGGCATCCTGGTGGAAGAAGACTCAGAGCATTAACAGAGGGAGCTGGGAGCTGGATGGAGTCCATGCTGATATACCAGGGATCTTCAGAAAGTTCATGGAAAATTGATATTATGAAGAAAACTATGCATGGATTTCAAATTTTTTTCATACCAAAATAGACTCATATGAACTTGTTATAACATGTCTGAACAGGATGTGGTATGAGGCACTAAGAAGGATAAGGCATCAGTTTGAAATGATCCCCTATAAGAGCAACATGAATTCAAGCAAGAACAAACATCAAATTTATGGTAAAACTTAGGTGGGAGAAAGGTGAAATCTTTGATGAGAAGTATATGGGGACAATGGCCCCAAGAAACTAGCTGTTTACCAATGGATAGTTTGTTTTAAGAAGAGACAAGATAATGTTGAAGATGAAGCTTGCAGGGACAGGTCATCCATATGAATTTGGGAGGAAAAATTCATCTTGTTTGTAACTGAAGAAGACTGATCATTAATAGCAATGGTGGTGGTATGCTGTGGAGTCTGTTCCAACTAATTTCTGAAGCTGCAACTGTTTATGGGAGTAGAAACCTTCAGCTTTCTCCCGCAGACAACTGGTAGTTTTGAACTGTTGAAACTTGAGGTTAACAGCCCAACTCATAACCACTACGCTACCGGAGTTCCTTATGGATAGCAATAGCCAACCCCATAGTCATCTCTACTTGTTCCGCTTACACAATTCTGACTGAAAAATTAAAGTTGAGCAAACTTTCTGCCAAATGGTTGCAACCAGAACAGCTGCAGACAAGAGCAGAGTTTTCAATGGAAATTTTGAACAGGTGGGATCAAGATCATGAAGCATTCCTTTGAATGCTTACCAACAAAGTATAATCAAAACAATGACTACCAAGAGGTGGAAATGGTCCAGTCATAGTAAAAGGGGACCAGTTAAGAGCAAATGTCATGGCGACAGATTTGGCGGGGCGGGGGGATGCATTGTGCTTGTTCATTTTCTGGAGAGCCCAAGAATGATGACATCTATTTAGTAGGAGTGTGTTTTGAGAAAGTCAACCAAAGCTTTAGTAGAAAAATGTCCAGGAAAGCTTCATCAGACCCTCCTTGTCCACCACAACTATGTTGTTACTCGTTCCTCTCAAGTAAGGGCAACTTTGTGAAAGTTTCAATGAGAAATCGCTAGGAATCCACTTTGAACATCTGATTTGACTCCTTCTGACTTTTTTGTTTTCTAATCTTAAAAAACTTTAAAGGGCACCCATCTTTCCTCAGTAAACATTGTTTAAAAAGTTGCATTGACATAGTTAAATTCCTAGGAACCTCAGTTCTTTAGGGATGGACTAAACATTGTACACAATTGTCTTGACCTTAATAGAGCTTATGCTGAGAAATACAGTTTTATTTTTATTTTTGAAATTACATTTTCCCATGAAGATTTTGAAGTCTCCTCATATTAGTTATCAATGCATATACTGAGCCTCATTGCTTTAAGAGGCTTCCTTGCACTGGTACTTTGCTGCGAGGTAGGCCCTCAATACAAGTCTGATGAATGGATTCATTCACCACAGATTCAGGCTAGAGGTCCAAAGAAAGATGGGTGAATACATGCATCTTTGTCTCCTGAGCCCCTTCCCTCAGTCTCTCAAGGTCAGGATCATGTCCCCGATCCATCTGTATACCCCAGCACTTCTTCTAGGCTCTGCTACCTGTTTTCAGTTGTCTCCATCACACGGAGATCCCATGAACATCAGAAGGAAACGTTGGCTGGTCCTGAGTCACCTTCACAATCCTTGGTATGTTTGACTCCATTGTTGTGGCTTCATCTGTTTATTATGAGTGGGTTTTGGGAAAGTAAGCCAAAGTTTTAGAAGAAAAATGCCCAGGACTTCATCAAAACAGCCCTTCTCCACCACAACAAAGCTCCTTTCAACTTAGAGGGTTCCTCTTCTAGGACTTTATTAGCCAATATTCTATTGTGTTCCATGAGCTTTTCATCGGCAGAGTTCAGAAGTACCTCTCAAAGCCTTTCTTCCTAGTCTGTCTTCGTCTGGAAGCTCAGCGGACACCTGTCCACCATGGGTGACCCTGCTGGTATTTGAAATACTGCTGACATTGCTTCCAACATCACAGCAACATGTAAGCCACCAGAGTAAACCTGCCACTTTGTCCAGATTTAATACTAGTAAATGTTCACTGGATTCATGGATGGGGTAAGCAAAGCAGAGGGGAGAGGCAATGTCTGTTCCTAGGGCTAGGCTGAGCCAGGCAAACGTGAAGGCTGGTCTCCATGATGGTCAGAGGCAGGGGAGATAGTGGTGGAAGGGAAGGGCTCCCTTAGTGTGATAGCAGAGGGACCTGATGAAGATGAAGTTCCTTAGATCCACCAGCAGATGCAGAGCCATCTACCGTGTGCTCATAAAAATAGCCATGTTTCACTGTCATGGAGTCTATCCTAGCTCATAGTGACCCTATAGGACAAACTAAAATGGCCCCATAGACTTTCCTGGGCTGTAATCTTGAAGGAAGCAGACTGACTCATCTTTCTCCTGAGTAACAGCTGGTGGGTTTCGAACCACCAACTTCTCAGTTTGCAGCTGAGCCCTTAACCACTGTCTCATGAGGGCTCGCTAAGGGATTGGGTCAGATGCTGGAAATACAAAGATAGAAACCTTGCCCTGTATCCAGGGTGCTTGGAGTGTTGAGGGGGTGGGGAGGCAGAGGAGCAAATCTGAGATGACAATGGTGAGGCCAAGTGCTGATGCAGAACGGGCAGGTTGCTATGGGAGCGGATTCAAGTGGGCCTGCCCGGTACTTGCTTCTCCTTCGTTGGAGAAGGCTGTAATTATGGTGCGGTGGGCCAGGAGGGGTGCTGAGGCCTCACCAGATCACAAAGGGCATCTTCTGCCACATGAAGGGGTTTGGATTTCGCCCTGAGAACCATGGGGAGCCAGCTGAGGGTTTTGACACAATCAGATTTGCATTTAAGAAAAATCCCTGTGAAGGCTGGTGTGTACCTCGCGACAGTGTGGAGGTGGGGACAGGACCAAGCAGAGACTGACAGGCAGAAGGACGGTGAGGAAATTGCAGTGGGCCAGGCAAGAAATTATCTGATTCCAAGTGAGCGCTATTTGCATTTAATTTTTCTTCACCTCCCCGTTCTTTTCAACCCTTCGGTTTGGTTTTTTTTTTTCCCCTGGGATGAGTCACCATGGCAAAGCTTCACTTGAGCAATCAGCTCTGTGGATTTTAATGGCTTTTTTCTGATTACAAAATTAATAAATATTCATGCTAGATAATTTGGGAAATAGGAAAAAGCTCAGAGAAGAAAACAAAAATCACCCATGCTCCGACCAGCTAGAGAGAAACACAATTTCGGGTAAATATTGCTTCAACAATTTCCGCCTCGTTACTGGACCATCT